TTCCATGATGGCTCCTGTCTGCACAGGGGTGGCTAGAGACTGTGGGTGAAGCCAGAGCAGCACCCAAAGCCCCCCAGCTTCACCCCACTTAGGCTCAGGGGTTGGTGTCCTCCAGAGAGCAGGAGTGGCCAACCGTGGGAGCGCCAGGAAGTGGGGGAAGGAGCCTGGCTCCAGGGATGCTCCAGGAATGCTCCTGGGATGCTCCAAGGGATGCTTCAGGGCTGCTCCAGGGATGCTCCGGGGATGCTCCAGAGATGCTCCGGGGATGCTCCAAGGACTGCTGATGGCCATCACCGCTCTGATGCTCCCACGCCGCTGGCTCACATTCTGTCTCCCCAGCACCCCAATGACAGTGGAGCTGCCTCCCCACAGCCCTGCCTGAGCCCCTCCATCACAAGGGACCACCCCAACCCCAGGCAGTTTTTGGGGGAGACGGGCTACCTAGAGTGGGGAGCTGGGGGGCTGCACAGATGGGACTGCACGGGGGGCACAGGCAGCCCCCCAACCCCGGCAGGGTCCAGGGAAGGGGCTCAGAGCGCGTCAGCAGGGATGGAAACGCAGCAAGGAGCATCGGTCCCCACCACCCCGGTGCACCCACGCACCTCAACCAGCCTCACAGTGACTTGTTGCTGCTGAACTGGGCAGGCAGGAGCTGGGCAGGAGCCGTGGGCTGAGCCGGTGCTGCTGGCTCTCGTCAATTCTTTATGGCGCTGCATCTTTAATAGCTTTACAGAGCCCATTTAATGCGCTCCCAGACATGAAGTGCTGTCTAATCAGCACATTTAGGAGAATTGCCCACATCCTGGTCTCGCTGCCATAAAACAGTGCCCACAGAAGCATCTGTAATTAATGCTTTTTTTTTTTTTCGCTCGCTCCCTCTCTCTCCCACTGAATCAATTTATAAAGCGCGGACTTCCTCTGCGCTGGAGCTTTTAGGCTGTTTTACTCTGGCATCCGAGGTGACTAGGCAGCGCTCGTCAATTAAGCAGCTGTGTATAATGGATGCTTCAGAGTGAAAAAACACAGTCTGATTCCCAGAAATGATCAATGCGCAGTTTTTCGCACAAAAAACACAGGCTCACGCGGCCCCGCTGGGCTCCGCTCACCC